CATTATTCGCAGAAACTATTTTTACGAGTGTATATAAGTGCATAATGACCTGTCCAACAGAGTTTCGAGTATATCTTCTTCATCCTCCAGCACAGCCCGCAAGATGGCAGCATATCGATGGGTGTAATGAATCGGTTCTGTCCTAATTTCAGACAATTTCAGAAGTTCATAAACAAGCTCCTCGTCGTGTACTCGAATGGCAATTTCCAAAGCATGCTCGCCTCGGAAGTTGCGACAGTTGATCGACAGATTTGGATTGTTCTGAAAGTAACAATCAGAAAAACATACTCTAGTGTGACGTCACAGTTTGTGTAGCCAAGATATATTTACGTAATTTTACAACTAATATTAACCAGATTTCAGAGTAAGTGTATGATAAAAAAAAAGGCTTACATTTTAGTTTGGTAAAATTCTCTTACTAACCCAATTATTTGTCATTTTCTATTTGATACGGATCGATCCTCTACAAAAATATTTTCAAACTGTTTCACTTTTGTTGATCTCAAGAATTTAAACAAAAATATCACCAGTTGTGAAATTAATTTCAATAATCCCTACTGTCATTTACTAGATATTTTATCCAAAAGTTGAATATTTGACGTCAGTTCTTTACACACAATAGTTTGTTTGAGATTTTCACGCAAAGCCGTCCCTAATTTTAACTAAGAAAACTAAATGGAAGCCGGTCATTGGTTCCCACCGCCAACTTTTAGGCTATTCTTGTATGATTGAATATTGGGATTTGACCGTTACCTTTATATACTGCACACGACATGAATGTGAGGGGCACGTTTTTGGTACAATAGGATGCGAACCACGAGTGCCGAGGCTCTCAGTTCCAGCATCCTAACTACATCGTGTTACACGCGAACCTTGAACAATAATACTGTACAATTTCAACAAAAGAACACTCGGGAATACGAACAGAATATATACCTCTAGAAAATATCGGATTCCTTCAGTATTTTGATCTTCAACTTGCCTTAGGAAGTTTTCTTCATCTGTAATAACTGAAGTCTTTCTTGCCAGAACAGAAAGGGGATTTTTCTTGTCTCTAACATTTCCATTAAGAAAAATATATATATTTATAAATTATGTACATATTGGAGTGATTCACAGAATAAACAGAAAGACGTAGATAATAATACTAGGACCGCGATCTTAAACAGAACTATTCAACAATAAAAAATGAATTAGGCATAAGAAAAATAAATATAATAACTTAATTCATCTTGTTTAAATTAAATGAAAGTTAAAATTAATTCTAAATTAGACGTGTAGAATAAGGCAAATGGAAATTAAAGCCAATCAGCTTAGATTTAATTTAACCAATAATTAGGGTTAATGTTATATTAGACTACAACAGGCTGAAGGAAAATTACAACAATTAGGTCATTGTAACTCTGACAAATTTTCGAAGTACGTTGTGTTGACACTACATGAGGTTGCGATTTCTGTTATTGTGAAGATTGTCAGAAGTTCATGTTGGTGCAGTATTTGTAGTGTGTTTGGAGTTGGCACTGTTGTAACGTTGTTTATTCGTTGGTGGTTATTTGATTAAAAATAATTCAAGGTACAGTCCTCGTGAAAGAAATTTTTCTGCCTTCACGTTTCTACACGCTTGAACTTGTCATAGTCCTCAATTTACGAAGGAATCTAATTGTACAAATTTGAGAATAAACGTGCTTGTAATTCACGATTGAAAACAAAAACACACTGATTCACTGAACTATATTCTTAACTATCATACGATGCTTCGCTGACCCAGTACTTATAATCTATCCTCGAACGTACTGTTATAACAGCGGAAGTCACGCGACGCTGGGAGCATGCGCGCTGGAGTTTCTCGAAGGATCATGAATTATCGAGGAACCCCTCGAATGTCTGAGTGTTTGTTAGACGCCCTCTTTTTTAGTATATAAGCCTGGCGAGAAAAATCAGCGCGATCAGAAGAGAGATTGATAGATTGAGGAGAAAGATAATTCAGTCAAGCGAACAGTACACACCGTAAGTAATTATAGCATGTGTTATAAAGGTTGTTAAGTTTCGAGTGACTGTGAAAGTTGTGTATTACAATGTTGTATCGAGAAAGAATAAACTAGTTTTAATTAAGAAAGGACTTGTATCGCTGAAGTTCCTCGGAAAGAATTTATACCGGAAATTAATAAACAAGCAAAGAGTAACAAATTGGTGTCAGAAGTGCGACAGAAAAGAAAAAAAAAAAATGATG